CTATGTTGTTATGTATTCATGTGTGGGTTGGTTTACACGCTTCATTTGTGTTGCCCCTTGCTTGTGTTCCTTTTTCCATGTATTTCCACTGCAGTAACAATTATATTAATATATTTCCTCGTTGCTAGTTTATTTAAATTTTATTTTTTTTTTCTCTGCACTGAATTCAATTCTAAGGGCCAAACATCCTGATTTATCATAAAACGTTTTTTTTTTTTTCTCAAAATATAAGTATACATAACTAGGGTTTATTTTTCTCAAAATATAAGTATACATAACTAGGGTGAGTAAAACCGAGCCCAAACCGAAAACCGAACTGAACCGATCTATTTGGTGCGGTTCGGTTCGGTTTTCGGTGCGGTTAAAATTTTGAAAAACCGCACAAATTTTGGTGTGGTTCGGTTTGTTGTCCGAAGGGTGCGGTTTTAACCGAACCGCACCGAATGTTTTTTTTTTAACAAATATGGTAACATGTTTGTATTGTACATATACATGCTCATTTTTGGCCTATGGTTTGGGATGACTAACATTAACAATAAATAAGTAAACTAATAAATAATAGCAAAAACAATTAAAAAATTAAAAATGTTACATTAGGATCTAATTTGTTGCCCTAATTTTTTACTTTGAGTTAAAATTTTGAGTCTTTGGTTCATTAGATGATGATGAGGATGTAGCTTCATTTTTTTGGTTTTTTTTTTGGTTAACCGAAACCGCACCGCACCGAACCGAAAATTTCGGTGTAGTTTTGGTTCGGTTTTTCTACAAGTTTCGGTGCGGATCGGTTTGGTTAAATAAATATTTTTGGTTTTTGGTTTTTTGCTCACCCCCAAACTAAATTTATGCGATACAAGAAAATTCGAGTAGAGGATCTTTTACGGTGCAATGTCGAGATCTGTGGTGAACCTCTGACGGGTATATGGTGGCGGTGGCATGGATGGTGGGGGGTGGTGGCGGTAGAAAATTGTGGCGACGGTATTGATGTAGCCATCAGGAATTGTGGCGGCGATAGGCCGTGCTGCCAGAGAGAAGGCGGCTGATGGTGGCCTGGTCGTGACATTGAGTGTGTAGTATGTGTTTTACGTGTAAGTGAAAGAGAGAGAGAGAGAGGGAGAGATAGAGAGAGACAAAGAGAGAGAGGGTTAGTGGGGTTGGTGGTTGTTGTAGCAAATGATTTTTATTTTTACCGAGTACCGAATCAAAAGATTCGTTCCCCGGGTCAATCTCTCGAGGAAGACGGTTCGGAATTTAGCGTTTGTATTAATCACACAAAAAAAATAAGTCCAACACACTCTAATCACAATTAATTTGGTGAAATAACTAAAACAAGTTATAACTAGAAAAACAATTTAAAGAAATAAAATTTAAATTTTTAGAGATAAATAAGAAGTTCTAGGGTCGGAAAATCTCATCAAATCTCAAACAATGTTGACGTTTATTTGTTCGGTTACGAGATTTAACAAGCGTCCAGTAGCGCGCCGTCGAGGGCACAGCGCACCTAGCGGCGCGGAGCCGCAGTTCACCAACCATGGCACACCTGTGCGCCCGTCTCTGTAGAGCGCGTCCTTTCCCAGCGCGTGCCTCAGTCAGCGCCCTGTCGCAGTCGTGCCATTGTCGAGCTATCCTAGTGCATGCCCCTACATCGAGTTCGACCGAGTCACGCCCCTGCTCTCTGCCCAGCGCCCACGCGCACCTACCAATGTGTCGGCATTCTGTCAGCACTCGTGCGCACCTGCCAGCTGTGCCCAGCCCACCTGCCACAGCTTCGTACGTCCCGCCAACCCTGCTAGCGCGCCCGAGCGCCCCAACAGCCTCGGTCCGGCGCACCCCTGCGCTAGTGGTAGTGACACATCTTGCAACACCCGTGCATCGATTAGGCCGCCCAGCAGTTCATCACGTGTGTTGCATGCAGCCGCGCCAGCCTGACCCCCGCGACCGAGCCGGGCTGCA